ACTCTGCCAATGAGTAGGAACCAACCCATAGCTGACCCTCCCTCCAGTGGGTTTTCAGAGGCTATAAATCACACCAGAGAGGATTTCCCATCTTTCTCTGTCAGAGCAGCATGTGAATTAAAACCACCTGTCTTTGGATTAGCAGTGCAAGTCCTTATTTACAAGCCACCAGAGGTCCCTTCAACTTTTTGAAGGAATACTAACCTGCTTTTCATATTGGTTGCCTCATTTTGCATTCCTATCATCAGTGAATGAGAGTTCCAATCTCATAGCACCCTTGCCAACATTTGTTGTTTGCTGCCCTGTTGAACTTTGACTATTATCGCTGGAGTGAGATGATATAGCACTGTTTTTGGTTGTTGTTGTTGTTGTTTTTAATTTGTGTCTCATCAAATCTTTTGTTCCCAAAGCCCACATATTGAGTTTTGTATCCTATTATAATGATTTTTAATCGTTGTCTTCCCTTCACATTTTTCTTCTCCCATATGACTAAAGTTAATTTATATATTTATGCACTAAGAACTTCATTGTTCATAGTCTTCTCTAAAGAATTTCTTTAGTTCTGTTAGTCTTGGACCTTTTCCAAGGGGCTTATTTACAGAGATACTAAAAAGGCCTCATTTCTCTGAGGAAAATAAGGATCCTCTGGATTGCTACTTTTCAAATTATTTATCCCTTAATGTTTTATTAATTATAACTGTACTATTTTCAGATTTCTTTAGTTTTAAGTAAATATATGCTGGCTTTATTTTTTCATGATCTTGTGTGAGAAATTATAGAAATTAAAGGGAATTTTGTTATTGTACCAACTCTTGGCCCTTACCTTTTTATTTCAGGACTTTAAAGCCACCTTTTCTGGTAATGACATAATTTTCAGAAAATTTTGAAGAACATTGATTCTTTTAAGAAATTGGTATAAAATTTTTATTTCCATGTGATATGTGAATAGATAAACTAAAAGCTTTTAAGTGGCACCAGTCATACTTTTATTTACAGTTCAGAAAGTACTAAAGCATAGAAATGAAGTTCAAAAAGCTGGAAGAAAAAAGAAGTATGCTTTTGTGTTTTCTGAGCTGAAAAGAAAAGAACACCTAATTGTGCTTGTATGGAATCTATTCCTAGATCAAGAAGCTGTTGACCAAATGGAGCAGGGGAACATTGTATGGTTTAAAATCAGGAAGGGTGGGTGTTAGGGTTGTATCCTTTCTCCATACTTATTCAGTCTCTATGCTGAGCGTGTAATTCATGAAGCTGGACTCTTTGAAGAAGAAGGTGGCATCAACGTGAGAGGAAGACTCATCAACAACTTGTGTTATGCAGATGCACAACTCTGCTTGCTGAAAGTGAGGAGGGCATGAAATGTTTGATGCAGAAGATCAAGGACTGCATTCTTTATTATGGATTACATTTAAGCATCAAGAAAACAAAGGTGGAGAAAGGACTGAAGCTGTCAATATTTCATCTTCCAATGATCAACAATCAACATTACTGGTACCAGTAGTCAAGAAATTAGGAGATGTTGCATTGTGCTCATCTGCTGTCAAAGACTTCTCCAAAATGCTGAAGAGCAATGATGATCAGTTTGAAGACTAAGGTGCTCCTGATTCAGGCCATGGTCTTCTCACTTACGTGATACACATCAGAGAGATGGATAATGAATACAGATGACAGAAGAATTGATGCCTTTGAGTTGTAGTGTTGGAGAAGAGTACTGGATACCTGAAGGACTGACAAAAGAATAAACAGATAAGTCTTGGGAAAGGTACAGACAGAGTGCTCCTCGGAGGAAAAGATGTTGAAGCATCATTTTTCATTCTTTGGACATGTAGCTAAGTGAGGCTATTCCTTGGAAAGGGATGTCATGTTTGGAAAGGTGGAGAGTCAGCAAAGGATAGGAAGCCCTCCAGTGAGATGAATTGGCACATGACTTCGGCATTGGGCTCAAGAGTGTCACAGATCATGTGGATGGCACAGGATAGGACTTCCCAAGAGCAACTTGGTTTTACCCTCTCTAAGACAGTTTGTTCTCTTGGCAGCTCATGTTATGTTCAATACTCTTCTCCAGAACACAGCTCAATTCTTCTTCTGTCATCCTTATTTATTGCCCAGCTCTAAAATGCATAGCAAATAATTAAGAAAACCATGGTCTGCATCAATTACATCTTTGTCTCTAGATTGGCATCTTGCTCTTTAACACTCTGGAGAGGTCCTTGATTTTTCCCAGCACAAATTGTGTTTTGGTTTCCTAACTGCTGGTGTCAAGAGTGCCAATTGTAGATCCAAGGACAATGAAACTGTTAACTGCAATCTTTTCTCAATCTATCATGGTACTGCCTATTGGCCCAGTAGTAAGGATTTTTGTTTTCTTGATGTTGAGCTTCAATCCATATCGAAGGCTGCAGTCCTTGACTTTCTGCAGCAAGCACAGCAAGTCCTCCTCATTTGGGAAGTGTTGGTACTTTTTAATCTCCCTTATGAGGATATAAATCACATGATATATAAAGAAAAGTCTTCTTAACAAGGTAGATGCACAGACCCCTGGAAATACTATAGTTAAGTCCCTTAAGAGTAATAGCCTTCCGGTCTGGCAAGAGAGATGCTGTCAGATTCCTTTAGGTTGCAAGGCAATGAAAGAAAAGCTGGGGTCTTCTGTGCATCTCTGGGGAGGAGAGAGAGTTTCTTGCGGGGAGTGAGGAAATTGATGTTGGTGGTGGTTCTAGCTCTTTGAGAAAGTGGGAATAGAACAAAACCTGACTAAGCATTCTAGAGCCAGCTGGTGTCCTGCCTGGGAGAAAGCTGCACCAGAGAGCTGCTAGGTTAAGGACCAAGTGAAGTACCTTTAGTAAACATAGAGGCTTACTAGAGCCAGTGAACGTTAGCAAAGAACAGGAGTAGGCCAGTGTCCAACAGTGCCACCATGAGAGAGTGAGGAATCAGAGCAGAAATAACAATGTTATGTGTCATCAAGCTGGAACCGATTCATAGCTGACCCTCCAGTGGGTTTTCAGAGACAATCTCATAGGAGGAGATTGGCCATCTTTCTTCTTTGAAGTAGCTAGTAGATTGGAACTACATACCTTTGAATTGGCAGTGCAACTCCTTGCCGCCAAGCCACGAAAGCCCCCTAGAAATAATTGGTGTTTTAGGTGCTGTTGAGTTACAACAACAGTAGCAGTATTCTTAGGGTTGCCATAAATATTTTTTTACCAGCATCGTAGATAAAGGGAGAAGTACCAATCTGTTCCTCTCGACAACCATTATCAATCATTCCAGCTCTAATTCACTTTCCTTGTATTTTTACTTAGAATTATTCTTCTGTCATCCTCGTTCATTATCAGCTTTCAGATGTATAGGAAGGAATTGAAAATAATATGGTTTGGATCAAGCACACTTTAGTCTTTTGTGTGTGTGTGTATAATAGGTCCTATCTAATAAATAAAGCTAAAGTATATTTCAGTTTAGTCAAAAGGGTCTCCAAAACACAAAGGAAATGTCAGTTGCTTTCCTGGAAGCAAGTCTGACACTAATAAAAACTATGGCATTAATTCTTTGATATTCCTTATTTATTATCCAGTTTATAGGCCTATGAAATTATTAAAAGTGCCATGACCTTAGCTTTTGAAGTCACATCCTTGCTCTTCAGCACTTTATAGTGGTCTTTGGCAGAAGCTTTGTCCATTGCAATACTCCATGACTGCTACTTCCATGAACGCTGATTGTGGACCTGAGTAAAAAGACATCTTACTTAGACAATCTCCTTCGTTGATGCTTATTGGTCTAGTGTGACGACTGTTTTTTCTTTATGTTGAGGTATAATCTGTACTGAAGGGTCAAGTCAGTACTAAGGGTATATATACTCAGAGTACTCGTCAGTACTATGAGAACAGGGTCCTCGTATTATATCGCTGGTTAAAGGGTCATGGTTTTTCTCAGCTATCTAAATTCTTCCCAGCAAGTAATATCTGTTCTTCTCTTCAGGAATTCTAGGTTGCGATTTTATTGGATTTTCTTTATATAATTATAAGAAATAATTATTTTGCAGAAATGTAAATATTCAATGTGCCTTGAAACATCAAGAGAGACGTGTCACTAACATGTATATGGTGCACATTTAATGAATTAGCCATCCCATCATTCCACACATGATTTTCCTGCCTAGAATGATAGAATATAAAACTATGTAGGACGAAAATAAGACAGCATAGGAGTTTTAAATCTTAGCATTCTATAGTAACCACATAGAAGTTTTGAAAAGTGAATTCAGTTTAGCAAAATAAACCTAATACTGTCAGAACACCTCGTACCATATTGTTCTTGTCTACTGTTATGAGGAACTGACCTATAACTGACCCTCCAGTAGTTTTTCAGAGACAGTTTTAATCACAAGGGAGGAGATTGCCCATCTTTCTCTTGTGGAGACACTAGTAGATTTGAACTGCATGTCTTCGGGACTTCAGCGCGGCTCCTTACTTCAAGGCCACCAGCACTGCCTACCTCCCACCATACAAACCCTTGATGAAATTAAGAGTGTCTTATACCATTTGCTCTCAGTTTGGAACACTGTGACTGCTGTACTATTCATCTTTGTAGTGAGTTCGCTCTTTAGACCATACTCGATTAGCTTCCAACCCAAGCTCTCTGAAAAGCCTGGGAAAAAGCCCTTGCTAGCAACTGCCTTTCTCTAGAATGTAAACACACGGCAGACATGATAACTAAGTCATGTGCTTAATGAAAGAGTCTAGAATAGTAGCCAAGGATTTCTGAGGGATCGTCACATTTTTAAGCATCCTAGGCTTTTTATTATTTTCTGGAAATACATTGATATCTCTCTCTCTCTCTCTCTCTCTTTCTCAGAGTTAAATCAAATGATGGAGATTAGAGCAAATTACACCAGAATCCGAAGGCAGAAGGGCCCACAAGCCACAGATGTTGTGATATCTTCCTCATCCAAGTTGCTATCTCTGGTACATTTGTACAATTAAGTCTGAGAAGAACAAGTATGCTTCTTTACCACTATTATATACTCACATGTGTATAACTCCCAGGTGTACATGCTGTGTACATTCCTGTATACTTGCTCATATGCTCATATTACTGTTTATGTGTGATAATTTTGTGCAATCTTTTTAAAAGCCTTCTACATTTTCATTGTTGACATTTGAAGCCTCAAATCTGTTTCTGAAAAGCCAACAACTAGGCAAAACAATGACAGTAAAGTAACATCTTATCTGTATTTTCTTACAGGAGGCAAAAATTAGAAACTGTTAATTATTGTTGAAAAAGAAATTCATAAAATCAGCCCCCAAGTATAAAATATGTGATCAAAAGTGGGCTCTTCCTCCACCTTACACCAATCCCGATCCAATCTTACATTTGCCTGCCTCAGTTACTGTGTTTTCAAATCTTGTAGTAACTGCTTGAAAAGGAAGTGGCAGTTGAGCATAAAACACCACATAACTCACTCTGCATTCATCTAATTTCTCTTCCCTTTAGCCTGTAGTTGAAGGAAGCTTCATGGGGCACAATGAAGAGATAAAGAGATAAAGCTGGGAAAGTGGTGACATATTGGTCAGTCAGCAAAGTCAAAGGCTATGTCTCCAATATGGAAACTTGGGGAAAGAAGATATGCATGTACTATGTTGTAAGGAAGCTCTGATGGCCTAGTGAGTAAGGACTTGTACTTCCAATCCAAAGGCAAATGATTGAAATCTGCCAGCTGCTCCTCAGAGGAAACATAGGCAACCTTCTGTGTAATTTACAGCCTTAGAAACTCCACTTGAAGGTCATCTGTGAGTCCATTCCAACTCGATAACATCTAACAACATGGGTAAAAAACTAAACATTCTTTTTAAAAGATTGAGGGCAATCCTTTGCAGGTTTAAATAGCAGTCGTGCAGAAGAGAAGAGTTTGCCTATTAATCTCTCTCTGAGATGAGAGAAAAAAAAATAAAATTCCTTTTTGTTTTTAAAAGCAGTGACAAATCAAAATTTGGCTTCTGTTCCTGGGTGGAAATTTTTCAGAGAGCTGTTCTTCTTCCCTCTCTTCTTCTGAAAGCTGCTCACAACTCCGTCTGAATATAAATTGCAACCTGGCTAGGTATGTAGAGAATGGCTCTGCCGCACGCACTCCCCCATCAGCCGCTTTAATGCGATGCGGGAAGGCAGTAGATCATTTCTCCTGAAGGGAGCTCTTAGTAATCGCTGCAGAAGGCCTACTATTTACTCCCAGTCCGAGGATCGGGACAGCTGCAGGAATTCATTCCTGCTGCCTCCGACACCTCTAAAAGCCAAGCACATTGAGGTGAAATTCCACATGTTACATCAACAGCAATTTACCCCTCTGCAGAGATATATATATATTTCAATGTTAGAGATTTGAAGGTATCCTAAAACAACTTTGTAACTTGTACTGGAGGAGAATGCACGTGACCTCCATTTTTAATTTTTTTAAAAAACAAAACTGGTTAAAATTCTTTCTACTGTGGGCTAGAAGGATTCTGACCTGCCAGGTTTTTACTAACAATGACTTGACTACCATCCTCATAAAACAGTAAGAATTATATATTTTCTTTTTTTTTCTCTTTTTGAATTTGCTGAAAACAAAAGCCCTTCTCTAGGTGCCACAGTACCTGTCATTTTACTGCCACAGAGAAGTTGATTTGCTAAGAAAATGGCTTAATTTCACCCTGGATCAAATGTGCAAATTCTTGTGAAGTTCTCCGTTCTTGCATGTGAATACGCCTGAAGCGAAAATTGGCAATATCACACAACACCGTATCAAGCACCAGGAGACAGACGGCAAAAGTCTTAACTGAAATTTACTATTACTAGTAAATGGGATTTTAGATGTAATATAACAGTCATCAACACATCACATTTTGCCAGCAAGGCAACAGCACTTGAGGCTTTGCACAGTGTGTCTCGGAAGTTCATAGCCACTGTTAGTTCCCATGAAAAACACCCCTGCTCTTTCCTTATTTCCTCCTTCATGGGCTGCAGGTGGGCTAGGGAGCAGTTCTCCACCTTCAGCAAAAACTATAGCATGAGACCATTGCAGTTCTGTTCAACTTGCCTTCTAGGCTTTTAATAAACCCAGTCATTTCCTTCAGGGAGATGTTTATCAAATTTGAATCGGCTTCATATATGTAAGTCAGATTTCAATATTTTTTTTCTATCAACTGAAAACCATTTATTATTAAACACAAAATAACCATCCCCCAGTCCATAGCTTTCTCCAGAAATTTATTTCCTGCTGGTTCACAAACACCCTTAAGGTGATCCAGATGTTAATCAACAGTGTGTAACGTTTATGATTATCCTCAAGAGAGCTGGAATGTTCTGCCCACCTCTGGCGTGGTTGCCTGATTAAGTGTTGGGATGAAGTTGCCCGTTCCTCAGCCAGCTGACAGAAAGCGATGTGCCTGAAAGCTGGACAAACGTTTTTTGAGATTCACTGACAGTGTTTACAATAAGAAGCATTTGTATCTGGATACTTTTTTTTTTCAGTATTGTGGAAAAGAAACATTAGTCATGATTGAAAATGTAAAGGAAGCTTTGTCAAAAATGTGAATTTCCATTTTTCTTTTGATTATTAATAATAATATTGTTTCTGTGGATAAAAAAAAAAGGGAAACAAGAAAAAAGAGAAAGTTCCCTCCCCCTTTTTTGGTCAGGAAATGGCTTGGAAATTCTGGTCAGCGGTGGTTGCAGGGTTTCTGAGCGAACCTGCAGTAATAGCCCAGGTGTGCTGAGTGTCACCAAGAGACCTTTGATTCACCAACACAGCATATTTCCTGGTGTCTTTTGGAAAAGAGCAATCAAAACCCAAAGCATTTTCAACAAGAAAATCCCACACATCTGTGTTATTCTTGATCATCACGAAATCAGCTGCAAATCTCTTCAGTTAAGCAGAATTTGGACCCAACAGAGATTCCCAGTTGTTTTCATCAGAACAGTGGCCCTGGTTCATGCCTTTCTCTGAGCACCCCTCTTCCCTCCTCCTAGGTGAGCAGGAAGAAAGAGCAGCAATTTTGTTCTCCACAATGAACTAGAATGCCACATAAATGGCACAGTTTGGGGCTGCTCACAGGCAAGTGCTGATGAAAGTAAGCGGCCTGACCATGGAACAGTGTGGGTTCAACGGGTGCCTGCTGCCTGCTATAGTATTTTCGAATTCTGTAAGAGTGTAATACGAAACGCTATCAATAGGCTGTCACCCAGGACCATATGTGCAAATAGAAATATGAGGCGAGAGGAAGGACTTGTGCCCATGATGCAACTGGGCGGGTGGGTGGGAGGTGGGAGGGAAACAGGAGGCAGAAAATGCTGTTTATTTGGTGTATAAAAAATTCTGAATTGAGTTAGGTGTCGCTCACTGACTGCTATAAATATGCCTGCTGGCTTGCAGCTAAACAGAAGGTTCGGTTAACTTAATAGTCCTGTTGTTACTGTTGTTGTTAGCTGCCGCTGAGACAGTCCCAGGCACAATAGGATCAAACTATTGTGGTCCATAGCATTTCCACTGGTTGATTTTGAAGGTCTTGCTTTTCAGTCCTAGAACACAGCTTTCCAAAACTGGGAAATTAGTAGTATTTCTACTTAGTCGCTGATGGAATGTTTTAGCTTAAGAATATCAGCTCTATCAGACCAACTGAGACTGTAGGCAGGTCTCTCGGTGCTCCCGCTGACAGGTGTGCTTCGAATGAAATTGTCCAGAGACATACACTGTGCGCTATGCTAGTGAGTTGTTTATTGGGTTGGCAAGAGGGATTGACATGGTGACTGCAGCAATGGGCTTGAACCAGGTGAAGAGTTTGATGATGGTGCGGGATAGAGTCAGACAGTGATCTGTTGTTCATTGGGTCAGAGTCAACTGCGGTCAACTTGACAGCACCTAACAACAACATCCAAGTGGAAGGGCAGAGAGAGGAGGGAACCTCCACGAATACCAAAGCTTAGTGCTTCCAAAAGAATAAGACTTGCTTATACTGCTCTCTATTTTCTTTGCAACACGTTTACTTCTCTCTTCTCTTCTTTCTCCCTTCTCACTTCCTTTTCTAAGAGTGTTTACATCCCATCTTTCCATTTTTAAAAGAAAATCCCTTCTGGAGAAATCTGTGGATCACCAAAGGGTGCTTCCCTAGCAGGATTCTTAAATTTTAAGTGCACAAGAGACCACTGGAAAGATGAATAGAACATGGATTTCCAGACATTGGAGATCTCAAAGCCAGGGGTTTTGACTCCCTTTGTCTCAGGTGGAACAAGGAATCTGCATTTGAATAAGCACTTGGGAAGAAGACCTGAAACTGACTATGCTTTCAGAAACTCAGCCTTTCAAAACCTCCAAAGTCATTGCTGTCAAGTGGGAACCAACTCACAGCTGTTTCTCCACTGAGTTTCTGAGGCTGTAAATGACAAAGGACGAGATTATTCATGCCAGCTGCTAGGAGATTCGAACCTCCAGAACCTGCAGAAAGTCATGCCATTTCCAGGAAAGAAAGCACAATTTACTGAGTGTGGAGTGTGGTCCCAGGATATGCACTATTGTGTGTTTACCTTTGCATTCTGGCTAAGGCGGCAGTGCAGCATTTAATATGTGTATAAAGGCTTGAGTCTAATAGGTGTCCTCACATTTTTCTCGTCACTATTTCCTTAATAAGTGAGGAAAAGGTTTCTGGGATCAGGACTAAGCACCTAGAGATTATAACTAAGGGCCAGACACTCAAAGTCTGAACAAGTGAATCTGACATGCTGAGCTGCCCATGTTAATTAAGCTGCCTTCAGTGCTGATAAAATCTCGCTGCTTTAAAGGTCACAGGAATAGTGTTAGTGCTGTGCTACATACATCAAGGAGCAGAATAAACTTGAAGGTTGGGAAAATAACCAGCTTCCTGATGTTTTCTTGTGCATTTTTATATCTACAAAAGATGATAGCTAGGAACAGAGACAGTTTCTTGCCAGAGTTCTTTCCAGGTAAAGAACT